CTATCTACGGCAGTTCTACCATCCATGACAAGGCCTCCGTTCGATGCGACTGAATATTCTGAATCATTCCGCTACTTCGGCTCCAACTAGCCACCCGAAAACTCGCATGATGAAGAGAGGAGCTCAATTCTAAATGCACTGGTATTTTTGTGAGGTAATAAATCCCGTGCATTTCGAAATTCCGACCTTCATTTTCAGAAATAGACCTTGCAAATGATCAGCCGTATCGTGGCCCCCCATCGCGTTGGGGATCCGTCAAATAACAGCCACGAGTTTATCCATGATCCCTTGCAGCCACTCTTTGGATATACATATAATGGCCACTCCGCTCTCGCCTCCTCTGCTTCTCCCTTGGATTGTAGGCCTGCTGCCTGTGCACGCCGTTTCGTGGATCTCGGACTCCGTGATGCCCAGTGCCGTTCATCCTCGGCCAATTTCGTCCTGTCCAGAGAGCTCTTGCATGAACCCTGCCCTTTTGCTTGCTCCGCGGACCAGGCCTGCATTCCGCTACGCGAGACGCGTCTCCATCACACGTGAGCGCGATTGCAACTCCGCTCTTGTTGCAGTTTTGATGCGGTTCTTTTGTCTCTCTCGCCACTGCCAGTCCACCCGTCTCACATTATAGGCATCACCTTATCGTGACCTCACCACGAACCTTCCGTTCGACGTCTCTTTGTTGGAGCAGCCAATGAGAACGCGCGAGCTCTCGGTAGCTCGAATAATGGGTAGCCGACGCCTGCTTCAGACGCACTGCAAGGAGGATAATGAGGCAGACAGCTATATAATGGGGGAGCTTTGTGCGTATCCATTCTACTCCATTCCCTGCGCTTGGATTCCCCGCTGACTTGCAGACCTCCCACCAGCGCTTTGACCGCACCAAGGCCCAAACGCATACTCATAAGAACCGTGGACCGACCTACGAGGCTATAGCAGCACACCATGTCGATCCCCCACAGCTCCGAAGATGTCACAATGGACCTTATCGACTTCACCGACGACCTATCCTCGAACGAATCTCTTCGCTCAATGCCTGAAGACGACCAGGCCCAAATTCCCAATATGCTCGTCGGCGAACAGGTAGACTGGTCCCCCACCACGGCCTTCAGGTATCCAAATCGTTTCCTCGACCACCTCCTCAATCCCATCCCGTCCAAGGCCGTACCTACGAAATATTCTCTCGCGGGCGTCCTCAATCCCGCGCCTTCAGCCGTCTCGAGTCCTCGCCTACTTCCCATCGGCCCATCCACCCCAGCGGATAATCACCTCGCCGCCCTTGATACTCCGGATAGGTATGTGTCTTCCCCAGGCTCGTTATTCTCACTAACGCGCCTCCAGTCCTCTAGGACCTATCGCCCTGCCCCCAATCCATGTTATGTACCCCAATCACCCGGACGAGCTGCACCATAGCCTGTACACCTTCGTAAGGTATGCATCTCCCTCTCTTTCAGCTTTGTGTAGACTCGCGCTGACGACTTCTTCACTTCCTTCTCGTCTTTCTTTTCCTTTCATCGTATTCTCCACAAAGCTCGAGCACCCGGCCCATTCTCCCGCCCGTCTCTGTCCTCTTCCACGCTCTCGCAGCCCAAGCACCGGAACACAGCGCGCTGCACGTATCGCAGCGCATCAAGCACAGCACCGTGTACACCTCCCGGGACTGTTTCCCGTCGATACGCCGCAAGCACGCGACCCGCCGACAGCACTTATCCACGTACCCTGCCTTGCCGATCCCAGGCCCGCTCGAGCCATCGGGTGACCCTTTCCTCAGCCGTTCCTCCAGTTCCTCCTCTGCCTCTGCCTCCTCGAGCACCACTTTCGGTCCGGTCTTCCCATCCACGTTTGCGCTTCGCCCCCTCCCCACGGGGCTCAAGCGTCCCCTCGCCCACCGCCCCGCGCGCACCCATCGGCGGACGTTCCTCGGTGAGGTCAAGTCGCCGAAGGTGCTACCCGGGAAGCTGCGCACCAAAACCTTACCCGCATCGCACGCGCGCGACAGTGACACGGAGCGCATGGTGCACTTTGCCCCGGACGTGAAGATGCGGGATGGGGAGGGTGTGTACGATGACGAAGATGAGGAGGAGGAGGAGGAGGAAGAGATGCAGATTGACGACCATGTCGAGACGGCGCCCACGCACCAGACCTGGGCGGATGCAGCCCTCGCTTTCGCGGACGCGGCGTTCGCGAAGGGTGGGGAAGCAGATGCAGGGCAAGTCCCTAAATGTCGGACCGCTGACGCGACGATCCTGCACGCCCCCACACCCCGCCTGTGGACTGTTACTGCGAACGCGTGGGCGTCGCAGGCGAGCGAATGGACTTCCGATGCAGCGCATCTCCAGCACGAGCAGCCGCGTCCGACCCCGCATTACGAGCTGGCCGCCCCGGCGCTGTACATCGGGACTCCACGCTCGTCCGTCCACGTATCGCCTTCCGCCGTGCAATGCGCGGCGTCGCAGTCCGTCGCAGGCCATAGCGAATGGACTCCCGATGCCGGGCATCAGTACGAGCAGCCGCGTCCGATCCCACACTACGAGTCGATGGCCCCGGTGCGGTACATTGAGACTCCACCCTCGTCCGTCCACGCATCCCCTTCCGCCGTCCGCGGCGCGTCTCTCTTCGCTCAGCCCTTGGCTACGCAGCCGCTGAGTCCTCGTGCACGGAGCGGTCTGGCGGAGTTTCGCTTCCCCGCGACATTCCCACGAGCGCTCGCCGACGAGCAGGCTCAGAACCATCCTCCCTCGACACAAACGCAGCCGCACGCCCGCCGCGTCGCTACCCCCGGCCCGGCGCACACCCTCCTCGGGTTCTGCTGCTGGGAGCGCGCGGGCCAGTCGCACATGGCCCTCACCCACCGATGCACACCGCGTCGACTACGTACGCAATCCCCGCACTCTGCGTGCGGCCCACACAGACGCATCCCATCCCTACGGTGCGGCCTTTGCGAAGCATGTGCGGGGCGCCGAAGGCGATTGCGAGGGACGGGGAAACGGGGGCATCATGGATATGGTGCTGGACTCGGACTGGCGGCGGACGCGGACGCGGACGTGTAGGCCGACGACTGCGGTGGACGGCGGGGAGTGTGTGGCGTGAGTGTGTGGCCGCAATGGACGTTCTCTGGTTCTCTCCTCCGAACACAGAGTCGAGACCCTTGATATCTTATTTGTACTTATTCGCTGCCGTCGAGCAGCTTGTACCACCGCCTGTAGATGTCGTTGGACTTGCCCTGTACTCTATAATTATGTCGTTCACTGTACTTAGTCGTGTAATTTTTGTTTTAATTTTGTTTTCGGAAAGGCTTGAGAAAGCAACAAGAGCAAATACTTATGCATGGCTTCTGGCATCTTTCGCTCATCTCGTATATGTACCTTCAAGTTTCCTCGGGGCTGCTTGCACCGAAAAGCGATTGCGGCGTCAGATAGGAAACTTTGGGAGCCGCCGTTGAACCGCCTGGTTCGTGCGCACCTGTAGTTGCTCAGAGGCTCTCATAATGTTAACCAGGTCTGGCGCTGAAACCGCCCGATTTCATGGGCCGACAACTTTGCCTGAAACGTTCAAGGTTCTCGCCGCAGGAAAAGGCGTCAGCTCGGGTCCGCTGGCGAGTGTGAGGATTGTTCGAGCTCAAGGAATGCTGCACTTAGGATCGGCGTGAAGCCAGCCAGGAACTGGTGGGGCACTCATGTCGCAACTCGTTGAATATTCCTGACGGTTTTGTTTCAGCTATGTATACCCCGAATCGTCAGAGCGGTGTGTGCATTACATTTCTTTGCGCCTCCGACAGAATACCATCTCTGCGAGACACAAAACAAACGGTCCAGAACTCGGAAACCACGGCGGCTAGCCCCCATCCCGAACCCATCTAACTGGAATTCAATTGCCTCTGTATGGCAATGTGTGACGTGTATATTCGTTGCCGGAAAAAGCTTTTCCCTGAACCGTTTGACGTCTTTGACGCAATCTCCGATTTCTCAGAATATTCAAGAATCAAGACTGAATCGCGATTCCATCTTTTCCTCTGTCCCCAATCGAATCAAGTCCGACCGCTACGCAACCACTCCACTCGCGCTCTGCTCAAACTTAATCTTTCTCGTGGAAGATCTGGATACTGGTTGAAGTCGCGCAATATGCTCGAATTTTGGAGGAAAAGCTCGCCGCTCTCCAGCCGCAAACATATATTCCGATTGCCCTCGGTGTAATGGACCGGTTTATGCGCAACCTTCTATCAACAATATTGTCGTTTTGCTTGCCTTTTGCAGAAGATTGGCGGCAGCTTGTCGTGGTGCGGCTTCTGAGATCGTGCAGCACCATATATTGATTCCTCCTGTAACGCACCGGCTGGGCGGTTGTTATCCAATGTAGCCGGCCACATAACGCATCGTCGGAGCCAATCTTGTGGCTATTGAACTTCTTCAGGTTAACGCGCGCGTTTCATCTTCCTTTGTTTTGGTGCCTGAACGGCTCTGATCAATTATCTCTAAATTCGCATTGTCCCACCGCTGGCTCACGCGTCCGACGGACGCGTCAGATTGAGAAAGTCGTGACGTTATCATTCTCCACCCAATGGCAATTTGGTTGTTTTTCTTTCTATGGTTCTCAAGTCTTGACTGAATAAAATGCTCCCCTCAACCCCCCAGCAGTTGGCACACGGATACCTTTGATTAGCACTAAGTCTCAGCCAGAAGCCCAGAAGAGTTGGTGAATAATAAGCTTGCGGTCAAGACTGCCGACACAGTGAAGAGCCAAAAAGCACAGATATGGTCGGACTCAAGTCGGACTAGGTGAAAGTTACCAAGTAATTGGCGAGGGGAACGACAATCCACTGGCAGTGGCAGTGCCAAGGGCAGTACCTGGATTGGGGCCTTCTATAGCATATCGGTCACATACTAAGGTGACAGCCTTTATTTTGAAAGTTTCAGACCATGTCAAGAATCAACGAACTTCGTTCTTGACACTTCTTCACTGTCTTTTCCGGCGGGATCTAGATGCTAGCATCTCCAGCCTCTTCCACGGCATCAGTGGGGTAGTGGTAACCTGGGTCGTTGCCAGAACCGTGTATCATCTCTGATTCGACCCGCCGGGGGTTCGATTCCCTCCTGATGCATCGAGACGATTCGTCTCCTTTTTTCGTCCAGAACAAAGCGGAAATAATTAACATAGGCTGGATGCCTTTTCCCCGCCATGGTATATACGATGTAGTCGGCCTAATTATGTCGTCGAGTCGTGTTTTGCTCAGCGGACGTTTCAGATCTTTTGATTATCGATTATCGCGAGATCCATCAAAACTCTGCTTTTCTCAGAGCAAATCCTTCCAACCATGCTTCCCCCATACGCGTCTGTACACCGTATTTGTCTGAATATCTTTCCACGGCGTCGGATACCGGTGAACAGCGAGAGACGCAAAATGATGGTGCAGTCCCAATCGGGTCGATATCTTACGTAATGGATGAGTGGTCCATTTTTGGAATAGCCCCTGAGATGGGTTTATTTTCCAGGAAAGGCGACTATTGCGCTGCATCTGAGCACTCTGACGTTGTCGCCGGCTACTTGCAATAGTAAGGTTAGCGGCATAGCCCTACAATGGAAACGTTGAACACTCTGCCTTGTTGGATGATTGTGTTCTGGCCCTGACTTCGCACCCGTAGTTAACAGCGGCGAGTATTCTTCACTGAAAGTCTCGTCTGTTTCTGGTTTCAGAGTCTTGGGTATAACTTTATTCAAGTCATGCCATATCGTTACACCGTAAATGCTCTACGCGGGGGACGCCGCCACGAACGCGTTGAAGTTATACGACGGCGGGCTTGTGCTAAACTTCATACCATCCGGCGTAAAGATCACCGCATCGCTCCCACCACGCGTCATTTTTGCCGATACATCGCAGTCTCCGGTCAACGCCAGCTTCTGCTTCGACACACCCGCCGGAACGCCCGAAAACGTCTGCGTCGAGGATCCGCAGCTGAGCGTCAGGTCTGCGGTGTCGCTGAGGTGGAACTGTGCCCAAAGCGTGTCCGAGGCCCAGTTCTATAGAAGAGCATGGTATGAGCTCGGATACGGTAAAACGGGACATGTAGAACACTCACAGCGTCTTTCGGGGGACCCACCGCGTCAGGAGCCGTGGCAGCGGTCGGGTAGAGCTTTGCCCACAGGAAGATGCGGTCCTTCGAGATGCTGGGCGCTGCGCCGGTCTTGTAGTATGCAATGTAGTACTGCATGATATCCAACCAGCCTATTATGTGCCGCAATAAATTCAAAATTCACATGGCGCGCCAGAGCAAACACCAACCTTGATGATCGAATCCATCAACCCATGCCTGAGAGTTGGGCTGTGAGCCCTCAATCGGCCCAACATAGTGAGATTCGCCGTAGTCTAAGAGGCGACGAGTTAGTTGAATAGGGAGAGTGATAGATCCAACCCACCGTTCCACGTAATGACCTCGACGATCGGGACCTGCGCACGGTTTTTGATGAGCACCTCCCAGCGCGAACTGAAGAGCCAGTCGTCGAAGTTGTATATCCAGTTCTTGTTGAAACTATCGGCACCGTAGTGCGTGAAGAACCATGGCGAAACCGCGCCGAGATACGTCTTTCCTCCGAGGGCGGAGACATATGCCGTGTCGGTGTCGAAGCTCGTGTTGACCTGCGACTGTGGCCAGCCGCCGTTCCACTGTCGGGGGTTGGAGTCAGTTGAATGCTTCATAACGAATCAATTACAGGGTTAATTGCAATAATACGCACGTTGAATGCACCGTCCGCGGACTGGTACGTACTGAACGTCGCCGGCTCGACGAAGAACGACGGAATAAAATGCACTGGTGGGCCGCTCTTAACTGCGCTCGCCCACCCCGCGTCGGCCGAGCTTTGCCCGAACGTGCACTTGTCGCCCGAGAAAGTCGAGATGAGCATCTTGCCATTAAATTGCATCACGTTCGGGTGGCTGTTGTACGTGGTGATGTACTTCTGCAATAGGGCGGCGTCGTCAGATGCGGCGCACGGCATAACCGTCATGTCGAAGCTGAAGCCGATGCGGAACGTAGAGCCAGCGCCCTGGGCGGCAGTGAACGCAGCTGCAACCTGGTCGGGTTGCCAGCTGTCTGAACCAAGGTTCAAAATGAATCCATCGAGGCCCTTGGAAGATGCAAGCGCGATATCTGCAAAATTCTCAGCTAGCTGGACATTTACAAATTCAGAAAACATACCACTGGCCCAATTCTCCGCGGTATATGGAGCGACATTGCCGACCATAAAGTGAGCGATGACCATGGGCCCCGAGGACGACGTGCTATTTCCGGATTCTGTGGTGGCTGTACCATTGCCCGTGCTCGAAGTTGAGTTCGTGCTCGACGTGGAATTCGACAGCGAGCTTGGCAGCGGGACAGAGGACCCGGATGTTGCTGAAGGACTAGGGCCACCGCTCACTAGAATGGAGGACGGGACAGGAAGAACCGCCCCAGAGATTGAACCTGACGCGCCGATGGAAGGTAAAAGAGCACTGGCGCTGGCAGGAACAGCCGCAGAAGCAGAGGATACCAATGCAGAGACAGCGGGTGAAGAGCTCAGAGAAGGTAGAGCTTCGGACGACGCAGGACTGGCCACCGCTGATGGGATACTGCCAGGGGCGCCAGACACGTCGCGCAGAGAAATCGGTCGACCATTCGTGAGGAAGGGAAGTGTAAAGGACAGCACGAGGAAATGAGTGAGCATTTTCTTTGGCGAACTTCGAGAAATACAATAGCCCGCAGATCAACTGTACGGGTTGGGAGATCAACTCTACCAATTTCGAGCGGAGCTGGGCTCATTTTATAGCTCATTCTCCGCAGCAGTAGGTTTCCAAGACCGAGAAAAGGTTCACCTGGCTACAGTGCGCTGAGTCGGCGAGACCGGCTACTGAGCCTTGAAAAGGGATTATTATCAGGGTGAATGTATTGGGTCGATCTAGAGCAGTGTGATATTCGACTGGCATTTCGTTCGCTGGGTTGGCGTCCTTAATATTACTTTGATGTCGGTCGTTGACGAGTGTACCACACAGCCCGCCATTTAAAAACAGATTTTAATACGACTGATTGACGTACGGATGGGAGCCGAGATGTCGCCTGGGTGAAGAAACGGAAGGGTGGGAGAGTGCCAGCGTTGAGCGTCAAGTTATGTATGAGGCTGAAGATTGTCGCAGGAAAACTGTGGAAGGTGCTCTGAAAGTTGAAACAAGTGATTATCTGATTGATGGCCTTTGTGTGCCGCAAAAGTGTATAAAGTGAAGTGATGGGAGGAACTTGGGCGTCGTCCTCAACTTGACGACAATAGTCAACGTCAATGATAGTCGGGATGCACACAATATGATTCAGCCGTGGAACAGCAATATTTATATCGGCTATCTGTGAGACCACCGTCAGCCTGAATCGTTCGAAGGCGAGAAAAGCACTCACCTACAGTACAGCTGAAGAGTATCAGCACCGATCCGTCGCTCCGCCTGTTTGTAAGTATATGGCATGCCTTCCGTTGCGCTGAAACAGAAACGACTATTGACCCTTCCCGCGCTCTTCCGAAAATAATACAACCGCCATCCGCAGTGCACCAACACTCACCCAAACAATCGTGGATCGATCCACCTCCCAGGAAATCAAAACCCATAGCGAGATGCACTACGTCTGGAAATGTTTCAGCGCCACCACGATGCGCTGCCCCTTGATCTGGACGCGCGCCTTGGGCCTCGACGTCGGGAATGTGGAGTTCAAGGGGCTAGACACGGGATTGCCGGACCCAGACATACACGACTCAACGCCGATGGTGAGCAGATGCTCGCAGCGGCGGCACGGGGGTGCGTCTGCCAGTCGTTTAAGACGCAGATGCTAGAATGAAGATGCCCACTCACTTGTTTCAAGCGAATCGGGCAGGCAATCCATCCAGATCGCGGAGGAGAGCGTCATGGCGAGGGCGGCGTGGGCGTTGATTTGGATCTTGAGAGTATGGATACTGGTGTAAGGTTAGAAAGATGAGGAGAGAGGTCGATGATGAATCATGCACTTGAACGACAGCACCGTCTTCTGAATCATCTCCCACGCAACCGCAGCCACCCTGTTCGCGTTGTCAACAGCAGGGTCCGCAACAACGGCGCATTCGCCCTTGAAGTGGAACGCTTGTTCCTCGTGCGGTGTGTTGAGCAGCTTATTTACATCCGCGAGTAGTTGCTTTAACGTCTGATATAAAATGGGCAGGGGCGCATTGGCTGTGCCGGGAGGGAGGACGATGTGTGGGATGCTGCGGATGTGTGCTGCGGGCTCGGGTGAGACTTCTGTGCGTTTCCTTTTCCGCGGATGTTGAACAGGAGCCTGAGGATAAACTTGAAGAAGAGGGGAGATGCTGCCTGGCGTACGGAGTGGCGGAGCTATCATTTTCTGCGGTTAACAATTTGTTAAAAACACCCGCTCCCTGCCTGTTGTAGACAACAACGCACTGTACGATTCGAATCAGAATAACGTGTATAAACGTACGGTTTCTGGACCTTGTAAGTAAGTTGATGGTGACGGGAAACTTTTTGTCTGCTTACTGGAAGATTCACGACCCGCATCCTTTCATGAGAGGCCGGTGTACGTTCTTCTACCCCCAGCTGCCAGTACACGCCACAGAGCTTGCCGCAGATATCGCAGGTGCTGAAAGATGAAGGTGATGAACCGAGGCGCTGAGCGCAAGGTAAGCAGAAGTTTCCACCGGGTTTGGAGGTGAGTGACATGGTGGCAAGAGAGAAGTTCAAACGGACACAGCCACCGATCACAACGGCCGTTTGCTAGATTCAGCTCATGTTTAAAACGACTACCGTTCAAGGCTCTGAGTAATATCGACAGGCCTAGAAAAGTCTTGAGAGCTGCTTGAAAGCAGGGATCGAAAACATAATATACCCAGCTCTGCCACAAAATCGAACCGTGGGAAAGCTACCACTCTTCGGCCTGCATGACAGGAAGGAAGATGGACGTTTACTAAGCTACCGGCATGATCTCGGTTACGCAAAAAACCACTTGGCTTTCGTGAATATACTAATTGGTAGTGGGATGAACAGGAAGGAGTTCATCAGATTCCCAACTACTGGCGTTTTTTCAGAGGAAGGTGACCCTC